TGTCGATAGATTATTGATCATAGGAGCCGATTTTGCAATAATAACGATTTCGTTGTATTATCACATCCGTCTCTGTTCTACGGCAGTGTCGATATGTTCTTTGACGCGGGTACAAATACTTCGCTTTGTTTGTCCAATATAAGAGAGACCGCACTCACAGTCAAGTTTGTAAACTCCTGCATCATGTAAGGGCCCGAAACGTCGGTTTGTTAGAAAAAACAAATATACGGAAATAAATCCGGAAAAATAGTTTCATTTCCTATGAAAATGTAAAATTGTAAAAGGAATGTAAAACTTTCCGATGATGTGACATACCTCCATGGGTAATATTGTTGGTACAGTTATCAATTTTGCGCTCCAAAAGGCATTTTTCTACGATTTTAGAAAACTTGCGCGAAAGAATGACACAACCATTCCATACAAAGCGAAAATGGCGGGCTGAGCTCATATAGGTCTTTCGAGACCTATAGTTGGCACGCGTCAGACGCTAACTAACCACTTCTACTGTATCTATTGTAACCTGATAGCTCCGTGTAAATGAATGGTACGGCTATCATTTTTGCACTCCCGGGTTCGAACTCCGGCCGGGACAATATTGAAAAACTATCTTTTTTATCCTGTCTCGGGTCTGAGTGTTGGTGGCACCGTCATTGCCACCCATCCAGGGTACTTATGTACTTAGGTACTTATTTCAATACTCAATATATTTATTGCATTCATATGGTACGTCTTAAAATTAAAATAATGCTACACATATGAGCCCTTTATTAGGGACATCGAGTATATAACCAGAAATAGAGACGAAATGTCATTTCATTTGTTTGAAAACTATTCTGCCATATCATTACTGTGAAAACTGCGCTCCGATTGGCCAGCCCGAATTTGTCGGGTTGAAATTGACGGGTGTCGTCAATGGGTGTCGTCAACTGTTTCACTTCAAATCGACCAGGTAACTTGAGCTTTGCTGTAATGGACGAGAATTGCAAAATTACACATTTAATATTTAATTACCGATGAAATGTGATTCCGTTTGTTTTGTAATTAGATGTTTTGCTGTTTCCCACACCACCGAATGAAATAGCCCCCATTGATAAAGATATTATCTTTATTACAATAAATACAGAATATTTTTTGGAATATACGGAGACGTACACACGGGTTAGTAGTTGGCCTGTCTATATTTCAGTGCAAACGGGAGTTGATATTTATAAGAGCTGTATCGCTAATGTGTTACCAGGAATATATGGCCCTTATTTCGTCTGTATTTCTGGTTATATACACGATGATTAGGGATAACAATAAGAGCAGATTATTAATCAGAATTGTGATTTATCAAATAATAATATAAAATAAAAAATATTATTATATTACTCTCCCAATATCTCTCAAAAAGAAGCCGATAGACACGTGCATTCTTCCCATACTAACTCATGGCGCGCAGACTTGGTCACCTACAAAGATCCAAAAGTCCTAACTCGGGGTCTGTCAACGAGCAATGAAGCGCAGCATAGGTACTTGGTGTGAAAGTGACCGAACAAATTTGGAACACGACGCTACGCTCCCAAACTCAGATTGCTGATGTTGCCCAAAAAGCTGCGAAGCTGAAATGGAGTTGGGTTGGTCATGTCTGCCGCATGCCTGAAGATCTGTGGGCCGAGGTAACAAGGAGAAAAGTGGAGCCCCAAAAGCGTAAGGCGCCGCGCCGCGGCAGACCGTGGAAACGGACGACAAGGCTTGGTTCCAGTTAGCTCAAGATCGGGATACGTGGAGGGATCAGGAGGAGGCCTTTGCCCAGCAGTGGGATACATCAGGCTAATTGTAATTGTAATATAATAAGTAATACGTCATATAATAATCAGATTTATGTCACTTGCAAGTTTGATTTTAATTAGATTACAATATCATAACTTTATAGTATATAATTAAGATTTATTTATTATTCAAATTTATTATATTATTATTATTTTTATTTGTCATCAAAGTAGTCATTTAAATTATAATAGCATTTATTAAAAAGACGTAATTTTAATTTATTTACAAACAAGCACCATATCTTTCTACGTTAGTTTTGGTTATAGTGACCCTCCCTACCTACCCTTAGGGCATACGAGAAGGACACACACCTGAGCGCGCACAAGAACCTTGCAAGTTCATGTTCTGACCCCAGATCAGCCAGTGTACAAGGTTCTCACAGACCTCGGTCACTTGACTTCATCCAGTTCTTCGAGGGGCTAGTGCCTCGAGTGAGCCGCCCCGGTTGCTCGTGCAGTACCGTCCCTATTTTCCAGATAGGTAGCGGAGCTGTTGGCACGCTCACTTCCCTTTGCACATTGCACAACTAGCGGTTGCCACCGCTGAGCCGTCGACTCTGAGTCCTCTAAATTTCCTCATTGGTGGCGGAACGGTAAGACACGCTCCCTTCCCGCCGAAAAATGACATCTCTCCAGTTCCCAATAACCTAAGCGGCTGGAGGGACCGGAAGATATCTAGCTTATCCTCTACTAGATCTCCGGGCTAGTACCGGAGATGCCAGTCGTAGTGTCCTGCGACAATGTCCGGACATAGCTTCCAACTTAAAGGGCAACTCACGTGTCCCGCGCGTCTCCTTGCTTCAGGCCCTCAACTAGACCGCTACTAAGACGCGCTAGCTGCGCGCGAGACGAACTCCCCGGCTACACACCACCGGGGCAGACGAACGTGTCCTCTGCAGCTAACCACAAATCCCAGCGAGTTCATACACAAGTCCGGGTCCGCCAGAGATGTCCGCAAAGGCGTATCACTGGCGGAGGGCTAGACCCGGACGCCCGCTGTACCCTGGTCTTGCCGTCGAGCCCGTAGTCCCTCCGGAAACCCCTATCTCTCGGGTCGGTAGATAGGGACATTATTTACAAACAGTGAATACTTTTCCTCGTTTTTAATAATAGGCGGGAGCTCGTTGCATATCCTCAGCGACATCGAGAGGGATTTGAGCTGCTTCTGCCGCCAAACAGTAATGTAAGCATTATTGCGTTCCGGTTTTGAAGAGTGCAGGTGAAATTACAGGCACATAGGACTTATCAGCTTATATCTCAGGGTGACGGGCGCAGTGGCAGTGTCCCTGAGGTCTTTGCGATTTAAATCTCTGAGTGGCACTGCAGCTATTATGGACAGGCGTGCAGCTGACTATCAGGTGCATGACTTATTCGTCCCGTCACTTGATGTTATAAAAAAACGGAATCGGAGCAACTTGTCTGATGTTGTTTATTTATATTTATTTATAATTTATCCGTTTGTAATTTGTCTGCGTTTGTTACGAAGTACTTTTTTGTGAAATACCTAATTTTCAATTTTTTTATTTAGTTTCATTTCCCATGTGTAACAATCACGAAAACCTAAGAACGATATTATTATGTTGAAATAAATTTTATAATAATTTTATCATTAACTAAGAACGACGATATAATATTTAAAAAGAAATAATTAATAAAATAAATCAATTTAAGACAGAAATCAAGTTGCCTATTCAAAAATGAGACCAATGTTAAGTATATGAACTTTCTTTGTAAACTAAGACCAATAATTAATATAATAACGAATTTACTTAATTATTATATTTGACAATCTCGATGATTGATGATGATTTTGCACTTTGGGCAATGAAAGGGTCCCGGGTTCGATTCCCGGTAGAATCAATTTAAGAAATAAAACTTAGATCGGTTCTGGTGTGAGTGTTCGGTGTAGGGAATTGCGTTGGAATTCCCTAGTTTGAGACTTAGTACTTTAGTGTCGGTAGTTGTCTTACTCAATACTATTATTATTTTTATATTCAGGAAATAGATACTATCTGCTACAATACAAGTAACGTACGTACACATAAATTGTCACTAATGACTATAAAATTGCACATTGTGTAAATAATTAAGGTATACCTTCATATAATTGTCAACAAATTATTAAGGCAAATTATACATCTTTAGAATCTTAAATAAACATAATACCTAACTGACTATAATTTAAAATCACACTGTTATTCGGTGTTATAAAATAAATAATTATAAAATAGTGTAGGTATATTATATAATTACATATTATATTTTTTTACTGTTAACATTATGCGATAGAAATCTAGTCACACTCTGTGTGTTGAATTATTTAGGTTCTTCAATTTCGCAGAGGTTTGATCGTAATGGTTTACTGAAAACTAGATTCCCAAACGATCCTCGTGTCAAGTGTAATTGAAACGCCTACAAATATTATCTTGGCAATAATAAAATTGTGTTAAACTTTTTCTTTGCTCTTATAGAATTCATAGGCTCTTATTTAGACTAAACAAAAATTAATGCCAGTTATTTCAACGTCGTTTCTACTAAAAAAACATAAAGATGTTATTTATACTATAATCAAATGGCTCCATTCCTGCCTAAACTAAATTAAAATGATGCTTTCATAATCGCTTCCTTCTATTTAAACTACGCCTAGGTTTATAAATATTAAGCCAGCCTCAAATAGCGTGCCGCAATGTGAATTCTCTTTATATTACTTAAAATCTTTAAGATTACAATCCTACGCTACGAACAAATTTCTTTTAGAAATCTTATCTATTAAAGTTTGTAGCTGCTTAAAGATATATATTAAAAGATTACATTATCTTTTGTTATCGTCGTAATAATTGTTCTTTTCATTGCTTAACATTATTAATGAAATTAATATTTTTTTGTAAGTAGGTAGGTAATAGAATTTGCTAATTTTATGACACATAGCTATATATTTATTCATCTTTTAATGCACATAATTATCTGCTCATCACAATAAAATCTGTAAATATTCTACAACAACATTCACGAAATACAAATTTATAAACACCATTCATGAATTCATTCCAGTAAAAACTTTGATACTATTCTGCGTAATACAGAACGTTTATTGTTAGCCTTCCTAATTTGAAAGTTACAGCCACAGAAGCTAACACTTATTGACAAATGGTCTTTTCAATATATCAAAATTACAACTGGTTTTTTCAACTATTCATAACGTCAAATTTTCAAGGTTCAAGTTTGTTTAAATCACAAAGGTGATTACCGGCACTGTTTTCATAATTTAATAATTATGGCCGTTCGAAATATCTTTAAATTAGGAGCTTTGGAAGCTCCGAAGACGGCTTTTCTTCTGTGTGATATACAAGAAACATTTAGGCCTCATGTGAAGCATTTTGGAGAAGTTGTAAAAGTCGCTAATAAAATGGTATGCATCTTGTGATTATGTAATGGAAATGAATGTTATCTTGTTGGTAACTCGCATTTTTATTGGATATAGATATTTTACAGTTTTGTGTACTTATTTAAGCTTGAAAAATATGCCAAGATTAAGGAGTGCCGCTGTGAAAATTGTAACTTAAAACATATCCAGTCTCCTTGCACAAAATAAATAAATAATGTTTTAAACTACGACGCGAAAATAGGCAATTTATAAATTTGAAGCATCGAGTATGTAACCAGAAATAGAGACTTATCAGTGATATATCACTTATAAATATCAACTCTCGTGTGCACTGAAATTACAAAATAGAAGTCTGAAATAGTACAGCGAATGACCTATGTGTATGTCTCCATATATTCCAAAAATATTCTGTATTTATCGCAGTAAAGATAATACATCTAACAATGGCGTGCTGTTCCATTCGGTAGTGTGGGGAAAAACATCAAAACATTTAATTACAAAACAAAGAGAATCAAATTTCATAGGTACCTAATTAAATTTTAAATACATAATTTTGCAATTTTCGTCCATTAAAGCAAAGCTCAAGTTAACTGGTCGACTTTAAGTGCAACAATTGATGACACCCATTGATGACACTCAGCTATTGTTTCGAATTCGTTCTGGCCAATCGGAGTGCAGTTGATGATATGACAGAATAGTTTTCAAACAAATGAAATGACATTTCGTCTCTATTTCTGGTTGTATAATCGATGGTTTAAAGCCTGTGTCGGTCTGCGGCATTATTTTTTTTTCTTTCTTTTTTGCATACACTCATAACCACCCACACTTGGGAAACACTATGACGCAGGTGCCATGGACACACCTATACAACCACAAATTACACCCAAACGAAATATATTTAGGCAATAAAAATATTACTCCTGGCCTGGGAACTCTGTGTGGCAGACCAGCATGGTAACTGTTCGGCCAGAGAGGCAGTTGTATAATGTTATATAGCATTGTAGCTCCCAAATGGATGGAGTGATCTGAATGCGTGTTTTTTTTACTTGAAGGCTTTTTTGCCAACATGCAAAGACCTTAGAATAATAACGCATAGAATGATAGTTTCATATCAAACAAACTGTCAAAAGTGAGGCAGAAATCAAATTCATGTAGGCGTAAGCAAGTTATATTTACGCTTGTCAGCACGTACACAAATGTACAAATAATGATGCTATGGAATAATATTTTCATCAAAAGTGGGAAAATGGTCTCTTGCTTAACTCATCGTTAAGTTAATAAATACTACCCAATTTTTGTTTAATTCATATATGAACAAACACCTAAAATCGAGTTTAAGTGCGACTATCTAATTTGACTTTAGAACATGAAAATTTGGATATATAAAGCCTGATATTATCTGTGGATAACACATGGAATACATTATATAACAATAAAGAACCTGAACCTGAAAGTTATTTATACACAACTTTGGAGAACTGACCATGACTTTTTTAGTCAGTGTAGTTCCCTTTAATAACTTTAGTCAAGAACTTTTGAGTTTGGGCAAGACATTTTTTTTTAAATGAGCTCTTCATATAATGAGCTATTCATCATACAGGATGATGAACAAGAATAATGATTTTCACATGAAACTAATGAAGGCAATTACTAAATATATTCCGTAAAAGTAGCTTACATTTCTAGAATAAATTCTGCAACGGTCGCGATATTGCCTAGTCTCAAAAAATTGCCATGTATAATTATTTTGAAACAGGATAGAAAAATGGGGAGAAAAAATCCGTTACTTTGCAACATTTTCGTATCTTGTTGCAACGAAATTAATTTTCTGTTTTAGTGAATATTTACACAAAAATACAAGTTTAAACTCTTTACTTCCTGGTGGAACGTGATGTTAGTATCTATTTTATGTTTGTCTATTGTTTGACGTATTTTTACACTCATTTACCGCACATTTCGTCATTTTTAGCTAAAATTCTTGAGCTGTTCGCAGTGCAATTTGATCTTGAGCACTGACGGCCCGCCCGCTCGTGTAAGCCTAGTTGGGTCCCTACAATTTGCCTCACTTAGTGTGTGCGGACTATGCGTTAATATTCTAAGTATGAGACCATAAGCAGTGAATTTTTGATGTGGCCTATGGAACACTATGGAACTTCGTACGCCCATCGAGGGCAGCACTGTATGAGGAGATATACAGGCGTTTCATCTGCCTCATTGCAGAATCTACTCTCTATTTTCTCTGCCTTATATTTGACAAGTGCTTGTTCAAGCCACTACTGTGAAGGCTCTAGTCACCATTCTGATGCTATTGCTGTCCAGGGACAGAGCTTCTCTACAATGTTTGGCACTATAGGCAGCTATCAGGATTTTTGAATGCTCCAGACCCTTGCTCTGTATCCACATTCTAAGAAGCAGTAGACTTCTTTGTGAAAGAGTTCGTCCAGGGAGGTACTGCCACCTTACCTATTTCTTACGCCAAGAGATCTACAGGAAGGCCCTAACTAACTATAACAAGGAGATAAGGAAGGCCAAGCGAGCATCGTGGCGGCGGTTCTGTGAGGAGATCGCTAGTGCTCCTCAAGGTGCACGTCTACATAGACTGCTCGCTAAAGCCAATTCCCATCAACCAGGACTGTTAAAGAAGCCTGATGGGACCTTCTCGACTTTTAGGACAGAAACCCTTGAGCTTTTAATGTCAACCCACTTCCCGGGGGCCTTGTGCGACACTAATCCAGCAACGACGCTACATTCACCTCGCAACGAAGACTGGAACAGAGCCGCCAACATAATAAGACCCCGACAAGTGGCTTGGGCCATAAGCTCGTTTAAATCGTATAAATCCCCAGGTGAGGACAGTATTACTCCCATCTTACTGCAGCAAGGCATAAGTGTACTCTTGCCATACCTGGTATTATATAGTCTGGTATTAATGTATAGTCCTATCCATCACACTCAACACGCCTATCAGAGCGGAAAGTCCACAGAGACAGCTTTGCTCCACCTTGTGGACAGGGTTGAAAGAGCGTTTGAGGACAAACAAATAGCACTGTGTGCCTTTCTAGACATTGAGGGTGCATTTGACAATACACCCATCTATACTCTGGTGAAGGGCCTAACCTGCAAAGATGTGGACACTTCAACCACGAGATGGGTACAGAACATGCTTTTAAGCCGCAGGGCCAGTATCTCGTTACATGGGGACCGGCTTGTAGCCTTCACAGTAAGGGGTTGCCCGCAAGGTGGAGTAATTTCTCCTCTCCTGTGGTCTCTTGCTTTGGATCAACTCCTGTATAGGTTGACTGAACTGACGAATATTGACGCTCAGGGATATGCGGAATGCCTGGTGATCACAGTTTCACAGTTCGAGGGCACTGCCAAAATACTATATCATCACTTATGCAAGGAGCACTTGACACCATTTCCGCGTGGTGTCAAGATAACGAATTATCAATCAATGCGGAAAAGACAACCATTGTCATCTTCGCCAGGAGACGGAAACTTGACAAACTAGTGGAGTGAAACTAGCGTTGGGGTCTAAAACCAAAGATGACTCTGGGTATATAAGGCAATTGTGTGGCCCATAGTGACTTACGCCTCTGTTGCTTGGAGTACTAAAGTCAGCCAAACAACCACAATTGTCACATTGGGCAGTCTACGGCGCATCGCGTGTCTGCTAGCAACGGGAGCCACGTCCACCACACCTGGGGCAGCCCTAAATGCATTGCTGAACCTGACTCCTCTTCATTACAGAGGGAGGCCAGTACCAGCATGTACAGGCTTACCACTAGGTTAAGGAGACTATATGTATAGCTCTATAGACTAGATAGCTCTCCCAGACATTGAGATCAGCCCAAGACTCAATTCTGGAACACTCTGTTCTGGGAATGACTTCTGATGTCATGCTTCCCAAACAAAACTTCAAAAAACTCTACCAGGTAGAATTTCCAACTAGGGAGGCCTCGGAAACTAACAGTCTCACCTGGAAGGACGGTAGCCTTCTATGGTATACCGATGGGTCTAAGATGGGACTCAACGTAGGCTGTGGTATACACGGTGTGAGACCCAGGCTCAGCTACAAGCTGAACATGGGACGACACTCTATCTTTCAGGCCGAAGTGTACGCCATAATTACTTGCGCGCATTTGAACCTGAAGAGAGGCTACGTTGACAAGCATATTTACATAAAATCAGATAGTCAAGCGGCTCTACATGCACTAGCCTTAGTCACCCAAACATCGAGGATTGTAGAGAACTGTGTAAATATACTGAACACTCTCGGGGAAAGTAATATAGTGGTACTGCGCTGGGTTCCAGGCCACTCTGACATGACAAGATAACGAGTCAGCGGATGAACTGGCAAAGGCTGGTGCTAGGGAAACCTTTATTGGACCCGAACCCTTCATAGGGAGAGCACACACCTCTTTCGAGAAGTGTGGCTACAGACCAAGGGTCTTGAGCATTCAAAAGCCCTGGTATCTGCCTACAGTGCCAAACACTGTAGAGAAGCTCTGTCATTGGACAGGACTGGCATAAGAATGCTCACTACAGCCTTAACAGGGCATTGTGGCTTAAACAAGCACATGTCACTAGAGAATGAAATGCACATGAAAATAGAGAATGTAGATTCTGCCACACGGAAGATGAAACTCCTGTTCATCTACTCACCCAATGCTACTCCCTGATAGGCGTACGAAGTTCCGTACTGGAAAGGCACATGCCACAACCAGAGTATATTAAATCTATCGGAGCCAGGAAAGTCCTTCAGTTTTTCAATGCTGTCGGTGTTGGCTCTGCACTGTAATTAGTGGTGACCACAATAGATCAGTCAATGGTCGCAGTGATGAGGGGATACATAACCCTGAATGAAGCCACCCTAATAATAATAATAATACGCCAAGCAGTAATATCAACATTACTGTGTACCGGTTTTAAAGGGCGAGGGTGCTGGTGAACTTACAGGCACATGGGACTTGTCAACTTATGTCTCAGGCTGGCGGGTGCAGTAGCAGTGCCCCTCAGATCTTTGCGATTCAAAGCTCTGAGTGGCACTACAACTGTTATGGACAGGCGTGTAGTTTACCATCAAGCGCACGACTTGTTCGTCCTGTCACTTGATATTATAAAAAAAAACACTTGGAGATGTGTGAGCTTTCTGTCAGCAGAGTGAGCTTTGCCAAACTGAATACTATACTTATAAAGCTGTATATTCTCAATGATCTTATATAAATGTCGTATATACTTATTTCTCAGATTTAGTTAACTAACACTCATGAAGTCTCTTTAAAACATCCACAACTTGTTGTCCTAGAGGCATCCAACATTCACACCTCAAGTATAAAAAGAAATAAAACGGAGGGACGCACAGGTTCTGAATAAACTACCCCAATAAGAAGAATAACACTCCATTTTCCAGTTACAAGCAGCCAAAGCCTTCCAGATCCCAGTCTACATTTCAGAACAGTATCCGAAAGGACTCGGCCATACAACAAAAGACATAAACGTATCTGACGCAGCTCTGGTCTATGAGAAGACTAAGTTTTCCATGGTCACTCCTGAGTTGCAGGAAAAACTGAAAAACGATGTGCCGGATTTGAAAGCCGTTGTGTTGTTTGGTATTGAAGTGAGTTACTTTTAATATTTTCTTTGCATATAAATAATAAATAAATAAATATTAGACAACATGTCCCAAAGTAAGTAATTAAATCACTTGTGTTATGGAAATGGGAAACAATAACGGTACCACAAACACCCAGAACCGAGACAATATACAATACTTAGTTCTCCTACATTGACGCGACCGGGAATCTAACCCGGAACCTCAGAGATCCACCGTTAAACTCGGTGTGCAATCAAATATATTTACTAAAAGATCAACGACCTTGAAGTCAACGATATGTACTATGAATGCTGGATAAGGAGGTCCCTGGTGTGGTTCCCAGTAAGATAAATAAATAAATAACGCACAAACTCAATAGTCCCGCACCAGGGAAACCCTGTATCGCGGGTAACATAGACAACTACAAATTACATCCAAACTCACAAGAGAAGTAAATATAGGCCAAACAAATATTTCTCCCGGCCCGGGAATCGAACCCGGGACCTCTGCGTGGCAGTCCACCATGGTAACCGTTCGGCCACAGAGACAGTTAAGATAAAAGTTAACTGAACTTTTCTCATATTGGCGTTGTTAAACCTTTACAAATTTTGGGATAAATGTGGTAAATAGGGCTTCACTTGAAAACCAAAATTCAGCAAGTTCTCTGAAGTACTTTTAAGTAACTACTACAGAGATCTTGGTAAGTTTTTCTTTACAGAAATATCTCCATATAAAAATGATGTACAAAAGTTAGACATTTTTTTGTTGTATACTTTTATTTTAGTCTGTTTTCAGGACTATACGTGATCAGATTAAGTAAACCCTATCGTGTAACGAATTAACACATTTTTTAGACCATCTCAAGTGTATCGTATATTTTTTACAAGGCTGTTATTTAATAGTAAATACCTAACCCATTTGATGTAGCGAAACAGTTTTTCCCCGCTTCTCCAGTGACTCGCCTGAAAAAATATTAATAAAGTGTTTCTCTATTTTCCAGGCCCACGTGTGCATAGAACAAACGGTGATAGACTTACTTAACGAGGACATAGCGGTTCATGTTTTGGCTGATGGAGTATCGTCCAGATCGTTGATGGACAGGGGACTTGCTTTACAGGTACATTATTCTTTTTTGCTATACAAGTAAACGGTATTGGGCAAAAATGTCATTGCAGCCACCAGTAACACTTTATAAAAAGTGATAAATATAATAATTTATAACATTCTTATAAAAAAACTGACACTGAGTTTGTGATATTACATCTATATACATTCATTTCATGATTAAGATCCCTACTCTATCTGGGAGTAGGGAGAGACCTGTAAACTAGTTGTGTGTCGATTGTGATCGATCGAATTAAAATTATTTGAACAGCACCTGGGACCCGATAACCCGGGTAACAGGCTTCTAAATAACCCGATCATTTTAGAGTTTCATGGATCATGTGCGCAATATTCGACTTTATCACTATAATTTTAGAGATTATTCAAAAATTCACATAACACTCAGTCTGGAACTGTCAATACTATTGTTGTCTCGTTCACTTTCACGCGAAGTCCCCACTCACTACATGTTTCGCCTTCTCACTCTTCGTTTGGATCGAACGTTTGTTCTATAGAGCATTCGTTCGATAGAATCTTTGTTCGATCGAACCAAAAAGTCGAGCGACGAGTCAACGGGTTAACGAATCAACGCATCAATGAGTCTATCAATCATTCATCCTGATTGCTCCGTGGCGTAGTGTCCGTTAAATGATAATTTTGAAAGTTTAATCTGTTTTTCGGTATGTCGTCATTATTTATGAGTGCAGTAGCTAATATTAAAACATTAATGAATAGGTAATAAATTAGTAATTTTGAATGCTCATAAGTTTATTGTTATGTGTTTTTATTTTGTAGGTGTCACTTTTTTTAGAAAAAAATTTAGTGTGCTAAGTGTGGTTTATCAATGATGCATTTCACTTTATACACATTACTCATCCGTATTCCCGCTAAAAGACTAAAAGCGCGAAGAACATATGATCCGCTAAAAGATCGAACATATGATCGAATTTGACCCGATCACATTACGAATGGGTCATGATCGACCTATACAGGTCTACTTTAAACAGATGTTCATCAAACATAGCGAAGTAACAACCAGAATAAATTAGCCTTAAAAATAAAATATATCGCTTCCATTAAAAAAATGCAATTACCCTTTGCCCGATACTGTTACGTAATTATTTAATTGTCATACTAACCTGGTTTATTTTGAAATACCATAGACCAATAGCCGTAGTCGAGAGTAGTCGGGTATGGAGTACCTATTGGTACAACAGATGTCGCGACGAATGCCAGATAGCTATTTTTGTAACTAATTTCTTTTACATCGACAAGCTGTAATAATTTATCAAGCTTCTCTAATTTCTAGTGATAAGGAACAAATCAACTAGATGGCGTTTATTGCACAGATTTTTATCTATCGTGCCTGCTATACTTTTGTTTTGTTTAGGATTAGCTCCATCTACCCCTATTAACTAAACTAAAACTAAACTTAAACGTATTAAATTTAATTATATATTAAATTAAAATTAAAACGTAAACTTGGCAATTTCGACATACGATACTTTACGTAGGAGGTGTCGATTTGTCAAAGTTTTCATGGTGTCGCCATCTCTAAGGTCCCGGGTTCGATCCCCGGTCGGCTTAATGTAGAAAACTAACTTTTCTATATTGTCTCGGATCTGTGTTTTTGTGGTACCGTCGTTACGTACCGTACGTCGTCGTTGTTTCCGATTTCCATCACACAGGTCGACTCATCCGTAGAACAAAGACCTGCAAGACATTTGTGATGTTGTCCAATATTTATTTATTTATATTAAAGAGGAATTAATCGATATCCACCGTCATCTACATATAAGACGGAATTTTGGCCTTTTTCATAGCTACAAACTGTAGTATGGAGATTAGCAGTCGTCTTAAGTTATTGTTCCATGATATTACTTTGCATGAAGTAAGCATGAATTTAGTATTACGCATAAGTTATGTCACGCTTGTATATTTTTTTACTACCCGCCAGGCTACACAATAAAAACTAAGTCCTTCAAATGAGTACTATAATTACAAAATATTTTTTGCTAAAACATTTCACTAAATTTCATAACTACAAAATAATATACATACCTATTATACTTTAACAGTAATTCTTCAACACTGCTTAGAGCAAAAATATTTTAATTACAAACTACTTAAAGTACCAATTAGAATATCACTTTAGTTTGTAGGTAATTGAATTACAAACTACAGACTATTTTTGCAAAATGTACAAAAGATCATAACTATAAGCTATATTACTCGTATTATAAAAGAATAATTAATTTAAATAATAATTATGATATTAATTCTTTTGTCAAATGCATAAAATGCACTAAACAGGGTGTCTCATGGCTATGCCACACGAAGGGAAAGTACCTTAAATACTGTAGATAGAAAAAATTACTGAAAGAAGATTTCATTTAGATTTTAAAAACAATTCGAACTGCATTCAAAGATTTTTAAACAATCGCCTGCCTGCCACCTTGCATATAATATAGTATGCAATAAAGTGTTGAGTTGACCTTTATTATATTATTTATTTTTAATGGTATTCAATGTGGCAAACAGTTAAAAGGTCCAACTATAATATCCCGCTGTCTATAGACAATTGGGACTGCTGTCTCTCCATACCATTCAATCTAGACCACAATTAGGTGGTAGATACCAGGACCCCATGTCTGCTAATTTCAAATCACCTCAGTTGTGTGTGAATAGAGTGTCAATGGCAAGGTTTTGTATGTTTGATATTCTACTAAAAGTAAGAGTAGTAGCTGTCAGTGCCATTAATCTACTATTTATTCAATTGATTTTTTTTTTTATGGTATTCTGCTCTTCAATGGCGAGTTGGTGGCACGTCGATGTCGTAGTTACTAATTTATTTTAAGTTTTGTTTTTTTTAATATATAATCCACAATTGGCCACAATCTCACCTGGTGTTAACCGACGATGTGAACGACGACGGGACGCGTTCGCCTAAAAAATGCCTATTCATTCTAGCCTTGAATAGCCCCAAATTGTACCTTTCGGAAAACACAGACGCCAGTAGATTAATCCACTCCTTTGCTACACGCATCAAAAAGGAGGAAGCAAAGCGCTTAGTGCGAATGGGTGGTATATCAACGAAGGAGGAACGGTGAGGGTGGAACTAAATTGAATCGTTCGTTTAAAGTTAGTTAGTTCCTGAAAAGTCAATTTCTGACGAAAATTTCATTATTATACAAAATACGTTATTTTATTTTTCCTTTGAAAAAGTATTTGTATAACGATTTTTGTAAAAATAAACACCGTTATGCAAATTCGTTTCATGGTCGCGCTGGTCTTTTACGCGTTGGTCTATTATCGGCGCTCATACCTAAATTTCAGTGGAGTCACAATGGTATTACAATGACCAGGGGGCCTACTATGAACTGTTAGAGCAATCCTATTTAAGCCTGTAACTTGGATTGTCTGTCAAATACGTATTATGACATCACAAAAACAATTCACTGTCCATGCAGTTTACGTTCCCCATTCGAAATCCGTTCACCTTTTCTTTCATAGCAAAATCGCGGTCTCATCTGTAAAAATAAGCAATTCAAAAAAAGTTACTCCGTGACTTACTTTTTTTAGATTTAGTTACATTTTAAGTAATTTCCTGTAAGTTTTATTATATTTTTAGTTTCATACTTATTTGTTATCTGTATAGGCTATATAGCCAATTGTCAATAAATAAATACTATTAACAATTGAGCTGTTTTTGGTCATTTTAGTTCGAGTTCCCAATATTTAAAGTATTGTTGATAAATTATTGGCATTGCGATTTTTAAATGAAATTTTAATAATTTTATTTACCGAAAATCGTAAAATTAATTTTAAATAGTGCCAAATGTGATTTTAATGCGATCAATGAAAATGTACGAATACAAGATACGTTCCAATTATGTTATCAAATTACAAACTCACCTTATTTATTTTGAATGATAATGACTGGACATAACATGTAATTTTGTCGTACGACAAATTGTAAAGTATGATTGAAAAGTTGCCAATATTACAAAACAACGTAGTAAGTATAATCAATAATAAAATTATTAAAAAAATATAATTATTCTCATTTTGAACACAATCATAGTGCTTGAACGCTCCCAGGATAGTCCATCTGTCTATTTCTTTCATATGATTTAGCATGTAGTTCCATCTCGCTGTTGTTAGATGTCAGCTAGCCAGCCAGAGACAATAATTAACGTTTAAAAAGTAAAACTCATCATCCAGCCATGCCATTACCGTTCGACTTTGCGTAGGTCATGATATGAATTTAAGCAATTCACTTTTACCATGCCACGTGAATTGCATGGAACTTGGCTGGCAGCTTATACGCTCAAAGTATGCCTCCAGGGCCCCAATTCTGCAATGGCAGTTGAGTTTCAGGGGAATGTCAGTGATATCATATTCATTCATTCAATTACTAAACATCGATGTTGCCTTACTAAAACTACTTTTGTTGTTTGTTGTCAATCAATTACTGTGCATAACTTTTATCTTGTTTAATGAGTAATTTAGTCTTCAAATTCAATTATATAATTTTAATTCACTACGCCATCGCAATCGACTCGCCATTGATGAGCAGAATACCAAAAAAATGCAATGGCAGTTGAATAGTAGGTTAGTAATAATAGTAGGCTAGGCATTGACAAACCAGTTTTAGCAGAATACCAAACGTGCAAAATCCTGCCATTGTCGCTCTATACACACAACTGAAATGATTTAAAATTAGCAGAATGTGGGCCCAGTACAACTTGTAACTAAAAAAATCTCATCTCCGTTGTTTCCAGCGCCTGCAAAGTATTGGATGTTTCATAACAACATCAGAGAATGTTCTTTTCAAGTTGCTTCGTGACAAGAACCATCCCTCGTTTAAAGTTGTGTCAAAACTCAATAAAGAACCTACTGTTGACACCTTAGGGTTCGACAGGGCTAAATTATAGACTTAATAATTAAAATTTGATCATTACTTTGACTGGGTTTTAATTTGTATTTTTAACCAACCAAGTGTTATTTAAAAAAGCGTTGCAAGTATTGCAAACAATAGATTATTACTGTACTTTGTCCAACCGTTTATTTTCTATTTGACATTATGCATTCGTATGAAGTCATTATGAAGTTCAATTATTTATATTGTTAGACAACCATAGACAAAAAAATGCTTCATGGGCGGTGCTTTTTCTTTACTGTAGTGAAGCGACGTAGTCTTTAGCTCCGATAATTTTATCGAACCAACAGATTATGAAGATTATTCAAAGTGATTTCTTTGTTGTATATTTGTAAATACATATCAATAATGTTTTGATATCTGTATAGTAATAAATTATAATTTAAATTAGTAAATTTATTTTTTTTTTATTCCAATATTGTTTATTATAATGTAAAAGTAGAATCCTCTGTAACATCGATTATTAATTCATTGTGAATGTGAACCCGGTCACATTCACGATTAAAACATTTTCATGAAATAAGTCATTGTAATAAAAAATCGGTAACGCATTAGGACATCACTAATTGAGTACTCGAGATGTCAAAGTAAAATAAATTAGAGATGCACGTTTCGACAAAAAATCGCTAGATCCTATACACGTGTAAAACTGCCTCTGTGGCCGAACGGTTACCATGGACCCCAGTTGAAGGGATACCAGTTGGTCACGCCTTAAAATCCATTTTCTGGTCAATTTTTTTCTATTGCTTTGTGTTTTCCCTTCCATGGTTTTGTACTTCAACCATTAACGTTATCTGCTACAATTTATATATCTCACAGCAGATCGATCGTCATCATCTTGATTGTGCAAGTAGATAAATATAACTTGAACGCTGACGAACTCGTAAAGTAACCAAAATCCGGATGGACTCCTCATTATTATAATTTATTTATTATTTACTCCTATACGATCTGACTCGTATGCCTCAACTTCTGCCTACCGTGGCCAAACCATTTTTACCATTTGTTACCATGCCGGACTGCCACGCAGAGGTCCCAGGTTCGATACTCGGGCCGGGAGAAATATTTGTATGGCCTACGTTTATTTCTCTCATGAGTTTGGATGTAATTTGTGGTTGTCTGTGTGTGTGTGTCCATAGCACCCGCGACACAAGGTTTCCCTAGTGCGGGGCTATATTTAGTGTGTGCGTTATTATTATTGATCTTCATAAAAATCGAGTCGTAATGAGCAATGAAATGTAAACGGACCGTCCGAATTCGGAACAGACACTGTACTCCCGAACTCAGATTGCTGAGGCAGCCCAAAAAGCTGCGAAGCTGAATTGGAGTTAGGCTGGTCAGGTCTGCCGCATGCCTGAAGATCTGTGGGCCAAGGTAACCCAGTGGAACCCCAAAAGCGTGACGAACTGGACGCCTACGATAATGCTTGGGGTCCAGTTAACTCAGGATCGGGATGCGTGGAGGGATCATGAGCGGCCTTTGCTCAGCAGTGGGATACATCAGGCTAAGTGTAATTGAAGCATTGGGAACAACAAGGGCGTTCGGCACCCAAAGCTTGTTATGATGTTATTGCATCAAAACATGTAAAACACAATCTAATCTTGTGACAAAAAGTCATATCGCTCTCCATTCTAGATGGCGTAATTTTCATTCATTTAAAAGTAACTCACCTCAGTGCCAAACAACACAACGGCTTTCAAATCCGGCACATCGTTTTTCAGTTTTTCCTGCAATACGGGAGTGACCATGGAAAACTTAGTCTTCTCATAGACCAGAGGTGCGTCAGATACGTTTATGTCTTGTTGTATGACCGAGTCCCTTCGGATACTGCTCTGAAATGTAGACTGGGATCTGAAAGGCTTTGGCTGCTTGCACCTGGAAAATGGAGTGTTATTACTCTTATTGGGGTAGTTTATTCAGAACCTGCGCGTCCGTGCGTTTTACTTCTTTTTCTATTTGAGGTGTGAATGTTGGATGCCTCTAGGACAACAGTTGTGGATGTTTTAAAGAGACTCCATGACTGTTTCAGTTAGTTAAATCTGACAAATAAGTATATACGACATTTATATAAGATCATTGAGAATATACAGCCTTATAAGGACAGTATTCGGCCTGGCAAAGCTCACTCATCTTCCAAGTGTGTGAGAAGGGGCTTCTGTCGGATTGGAGTATACATAATGAAGTAACCTGTGCATCTCCGTTTTAGCAAAAAATCGATTTAAAAACCAATTTCAGCGATAGTGACTAAATCTTTCTCATTCATGTAAAGCAATCTATCTAAATAAGTATTAAATAATAGTTTTATAAACTTTATTGTACATCAATTAGACAAAGGGAACTTTAAAATTCATGCACTTTTCTAACGGTCAAGCATATTTTACACACTTGACAATTAAAAATGTATCCAAATGTCATTATTGTCGCTCTCATTCTTGTCTACTTTTAAGTCAAATAGTTAATTTATGCCAAACAATTACTTGAAATATAACAATTAGATGGTGATAGTGGTGGTGATGACGATGGTGCCGATGATAATGGTGATCATGATGATGATGTTGATGGTGGTGATGATGATTGTATTGAAACATGACATTAACAAAATCTTATTTAGATTTATTTATTAATTATATATAGATAGATAGATGGTCTTACACGGATGAGAAGGATTTTGATACAAGAAGCTATATTAAAATATTTGTTACATGTTAAATGTATTTAAATGTTCTTTTGTGAACGATAAAATGTGTGTTGTAATAATAATTTCTTATTATTGTGCCGTCTTTCTCATTTAGGTTTATGAGAAAATCATTCGTGTTACTGCAATCTCATTCGTGTGACCTAAAATATAGGTTTTTGTTGTATTTAACTTAAATATTTCTGTGGTTTTGTAATTATTGACATTATTTGAACTTATTTGTACGTTTACGACCTTAAACCAAAAGAAAAAAGGGTTTTACAAAAATCACTCAAAAAGTGCCATTGAAATTCACCCAAAACGCCTTTCATTTCATTCACCCAAAATTCTTAACAATAAATAAATATGAGTAACAGATGAAAATGATAATTACAAATCTCCACAAGTAAAACAAAAAATAAGTTATTAATTTTTTAGTCAGCAGAAACTAAACATTATTATTGAAATGTAAAGTACATAATATTAGTTTAGGTACACAATGAGAACAGGTACAATTGCCAATGAAGGGAAAAAAAGGAAAAGAAAAAAAAGGAGAAATATTAAACCCTATATAGCCCAACCAACACAAACAGACATAGACTTTAAAGTACTGAAAATAGACACAAAATTAACTCGACAGTTAGGGCGACTTCAAATTAGGCGTTTTTAGAAGTGCTGCAGTGGCGCTACTGTGGCGCTGCAGCCGCACCAGGTATAATTTTCATACAATATATAGTCTGTAAAAGAGACCCGTGCGTGATGCGACTGCTCTTCTAAATATTCAATAAAAATAGTAGTGGCGCCACTGCAGCACTTCTACAAGCGTCTATGAAGACTCCTTTACATTATGGAAGAGTAGGTTTTTCGCAGGGTCATTAAATTGTTTATTAGCTTTGATATTTTATTTTTAAATTTTTTTGCATGTCATGTTGTGATCGTGTACTGCATGCATTGAAGGCTCACCGATAATGTTATCTAGATTATGATACTTCAACGACATAGTTCAGTATTGCACCAACAGATTACGCTTTATCATTTATAATTTTTCTAGAGTTTTGCTTGTGGGAAATAAAGAAAATCAAGACTTAAAAATTAATTCGCATAAAAACAAGAATTATAAAAACCCGTCATGTTTTTTTCTTGCTTAACACGCTGTGGAAATTAGTTTCCGTACGTTATTTAGCGCCTTGTAATAAGCATGGTATTCAGTGTAATTGAAACAAAACACATCCTGTTCTTTTTCCCATTATTCATTGTTCACTATAATATGTGCAAACGAGACTATTATAGAAACATTTGTCAGTCATACGCCATCACGTTGCCGCAGCGACCGTGTAATTTTACCCATAGACGTACGTGCATTGTCACACAAATTTGTCGTAAATTCGCCTATATTATGTAAATTTCGTGGAAATCTTTGTTTTTTTTTAATTTGGAAATTTAATGACAAATGTGTATAGGTAGGTAATAAAAAATAGTGCGTTCTATTACATGTCACACAAATTTTAAAAGTTTTAGTGAGCATCAAATGTAACAAATATTACTGTAAAAGACTGATACTTATTCGTTAGACGTTTCCGTCTGTTTTTACTATCTATGGCACATTTATTTTATTTTTTTATTTACAAGTTTACTTTTTAAGTTTATTTTGTAGTGATATCGACTGTGTGGTTCTTATTTATTCCTTTGTTTTGATTTAACTTTTTGTGTTGTTGTTTGCTTTCTTCCAGTGTTATTGACTTGCCTGTCTTCTACTTGCTTGAAATTAAATGATACATTGTATGTTTTCACACTAGACGACTCGTAACGATAAAGGCATGGAGTTGAATTGAATGTTTTGGTCGTATGGTATAAATAAGACAGCAAAGTATAATAGTGGTGGAATAAATTCAGTAATATTTATAGTATTATGAAAACAGTTGTATTGAAATTGTCCTTTTAAAGCTTCGTTATTAAAAATGGCGCCAACCCTGGACGAATTTGGCGCCAAAAATTTGGATAATAGAAATCCATTCCGTTATCGAATTGTGTCGTGTAAAAATATGGTCTATTGATTGATTGATTGAAGATGCCATTTTTTTCTAGAGAATATCTAGTCTTTAAATTCTTGTAAATAATAAACATTATACATAATTAAGCTTTTTTTTTCTCATTTACAGCGTTTTCAATCGCTTGGCTGCTTCGTCGGAACTTCAGAAAACGTTTTATTCAAATTATTGAAAGATAAAACTAATCCTTCTTTTAAAGCTATTTCGAAATTAAATATGGCGCCGACGCCGGACGAATTTGGCGCCAAAACTTTGGATAGCAAAATTAATTAATTTTTTGCTTGTTTCAAGTTTCAGTAGAAATTCAAGCACAGAGTGTATATATAGGATTATTACTATTTACAAGTTTTTTAACAAAGTGTGACTTTTTATTTTTAACCTACCATTCCAGAGCGGTTTCAAATTCCATGATCACGGATTGACTAGCAAGCGGCAATTAACAGGTTTAAGGCCAAATACATCTGACTACGACGCTGACGATTATACTCATCGAGGCTTATTGCGGCGGTTCCATTGATACTCATTTTTCTCCAATT